CCAGAACTGCCTGACTGCACAATCTCCCCCATATTCTGGGGGAGGAATGTATTTGGTACAGAGAGGGACGTCCTTGTATTCTTTCTATTTTTTTAGTAGACGTAGTTTTTGAAGCAGTTTGAGGTTCACAGCAGTATTGAGCAGAAGGTACAGAGATTTCTCATATAACCCCTGCCCCCCACACCTGTACAGCCTCCCCCATTATCAACATCCCCACCAGAGCGGTGCCTTTGTACAATGAATGAACCTACATGGACACATCACTGTCACCCAAAGTCCATAGTTCACATTAGAGTTCACGTAGTTCACATAGTTCATATTAGGGTTCACATAATTCAACAGTTCATTCTGGATATTGTTCATCCTATGGTTTGAACAAATGTGCAGTGGCAGATATATGCCATTATAGTGTCATTCAGAGAAGTGTCACTCCCCAGAAAATCCTCTGTGCCCTGACTATCCCTCCTGCCCCACCCCAACCCCTGGCCACCACTGATCTTTTTACTGTCTCCAAAGTGTTGCCTTTTCCAGAATGTCCTGTAGTTTGGATCATATAGTATATAACCTTTTCACATAGGCTTATTTCACTTAGTAATATGCTTGTACGTTTCCTCCCTGTCTTTTCATGGCTATTCGTTCTTTTTTACTCATGCAAATTTTTTTTTTGAGCATGTGCCTCTGTGCCAGGCACAACCTGGGCACCAGGCAAATGATAGAGGCAAAATGAGTGTGGGCCCTACTCCCGGGAGCTAGAGTTTAGCAGGGAGATAAATAAGTAAATATTTGGCCATGAAGAACAGCGTGCTAACAGAGAAAACAAGGGAGTCCCGATGTGGAATGACGAGGGGTCGAGAAAGCCTCTCTTAGGAAGGACATTTAAACCAGTATCTGAGGGATGAGCAGGAAGGGGGTTGAAGAGCATTGCAGGCAGCTGTCGTAGCTTTCAGAGTCCTGCCCACCTTGGAGACTAGCCTTTCCAGGAAGCCCTGCCTGCTCACTCCTTGACATGCACTGTTACCAGTCCCAAAGGTTCGTAACTTTTTCTTTTATGCACTGATGGCTTCCTGTGAGAATCTGCTCAAGCCGGTAGACCCTTTTTCCAGGAAAGTGTGCAGAGGGAAGACCTACAGTGTGTTGTTCGAACGCTCTTCTCCCAGTTGGCACAAAGGAAAATCCAGAAGGAGTTAAGCTTGGCCGAGTTGAGCAGGGAGGGAAGTTAGGATGTTGTTTCTCTCTGACTTGTGTTTGGGGGCTTTGAACTGCCTTGATGAGGGCAGTGCAGCCCGGACTGAAGTTCACTTGGCTAATTTCCGGTAGCTGCTGCCTGCGGAACACCAAAGATTGTGATTGTGGTCGCTTCTTGTCAAGAGCCTTAGAGCGTTAGAGGAAATAGACAAGTAGCCTGCAGACCTGTGGAGGGACAGCTGGAGGCTGGGAGGAGGCCACCGTTGCAGGGAGCTGCAGCCCCACATTGGCTGCTGCTCCCAGCTGTCCGGCCACAGCCTGGGAGGAGGTTGGTCAAGAGATCTTCATACGTGGCCACTATGCCCATGTCTGTGCCCTGCTCTAAACCCTTCAGTGGCTCCCTGTTGCCCTCAGGATGGGCCATGATCTTAGACCTGCCCACCCTCCCAGCCTGCTTTGTCCAGGCATAGCTTACCCCACTTGCCTGGCTGTTCCAAGCACTCCAAATTCTCCAGGTGGGACACAGGCACCTCTGTGGCTTTGCAGGTGCTGCTTTTCCTGCCGAGCATTCTTTCTTTCCTTCCTGCATCTTCGACAGGTCAATTCCTAGACGTCCTCCCAAAACTTGGCTAGATGGATCCCTTCTCTCTGAAGCCCCCACTGACCTGCTACTCTCTACAGATGGCCACACCTTCCTCTGTGGGTCCCGGGCACTGTGTACTCACCTCTGCACACCAGTCCCTTTTTCCTCTCTTCTCCCCCTCCCTCCTTTCTTTTCTTCATCGATTAGTTATTGGACACGTGACCATGTTCGGATCACACCAGGGTTGTGAGCAAACAAGGATGAGATCCCACCCTCAAGGAGTTCGAAGTCCCACATGGCCGCATGAATTTCTCAAGTGATGAAGATGAAGAACACACACAAAGCAGTCAGGTCTTTTCCTTCCAAAAGATAAGCTGGGGGTAAAAGCTCTTCTCCACGATTGAAAACTAAAAGGTTGAAGAGTAGGATACACTAAAAGGCTTCTGGTCTCAGATCTTTTGCTTGTTAAGTAAAGCCCTGGGGTTACAGGACTTATTCACTCAGTTTCTTCACGGTTACAGGACTTTTTCACTCAGTTTCTTCACGGGGTAAACGTAAGGGAGAGGAACTGATTTATTTAGGCTTTGGGTGCCTTCTCTGAAGGAAGCTCTGGGACTCCCAAGACCTGTGTTCTGGCCTCAGGCTCTCTGGGGGAATGAGCCAGAGGAGAAGAGCTCCCAGCATGAAATCTCACCAGCTTCACTTCCCCAGGGCAGACCTCCCTGCCCTCAGAGAAGACGGGGGCCTCTCACTGTGCCCGTAGCCTTCCTTCCTGGTGTCGATCAGTTTGGAATTTTGTGTTTGTCTTATTATTTGATCACCGTCTCTCCCTCTGGGCCATAAACTCCATGTGAGTAGGTGATGTGTCTGTCTGATTTTTTTTAACAACAGCTTTATTGAGCTATAATTCACCATAAAATCCACTCTCTTAAAGTACACAGTTCAGTGGTGTTTAGTGTATTCACAGAGCTGCGCAGCTATCTAATTTCAGAATATTTTCGTGATCCCAAAAGGAAACCCCATATCCATTAGCAGTCACCCCCATTAACCTCTTCCCTTAGTCCTCAGGAACCACTAGTCTCCTTTCTGTTTGTGTGCATTTGCCTGTACGGGACATTTCGTATAAATAGAATCATACAATGTGTGGCCTTTCACAACTGGCTTTTTAAAAATTTTTACTTAGCATCATGTTTTCAAGGTTCATCCATGTTGTAACATGGATCAGTACTTCATTCCTTTTTATGGCCCACTCCTATTCCACTTGTGGATCGGTGTACTGCATTTTGTTTTTCCATTCATCATTGGATGGGTATTTATTTGAGTTTTTCCATTTTGGTGGTGTTACGAAAATGCTGCTGTGATTATTCGTATTCACATTTGCGTGTGGCCATATGTTTTCATTTCCCTTGGGTATATACCGGGGATTGGAATTGCTGGGTCATGTGGTTCTGCGTTTCACATTCTGAGGAACTAACACGGTTTTCCACAGTGCCTGCACTATTTTACTTTCCCACTAGCAGTGTGTGATGGTTCCAGTTTGTCCACACCCTCACCAACACGTTTATTTTGTTTTTGTTTTTATACTGGCCTTCCTCATGGGTGTGAGATACCTCACTGTGGTTTTGATTTGCATTTCCCTAACGACTAGTAACGTTGAGCATCTTTTCATGTGCTTATTGGCCATTTCTGCATCTTCTTCGGAGAAATGTCTATTTATTCAGGCCTTTGCCCACTTTTAAATTAGATCGTTTACTTTTTTATTCTTCAATCGTAGGAGTTTTTTATGTATTCTGAGTACAGTCTCTTATCGATACATGATTTCCAAACATTTTCTCCCATTCTGTGGGTTATCTTTTCACTTTCTTAATGGTGTCTTTGAGGCATGAAAGATTTTAATTTTGAAGACCAACTTAGCTACTTTTTTTTCTTTTGTTGCTTCTGCTTTAGGTGTCATAGCAAAGAAACCATTTCCTAATCCAAAGTCATAAAGATTCGCTCCTGTTTTCTTCTAAGAGTTTTGTAACCTTACATTGGAGTCTCTGTGTATCTTGTACCAGATCGTATCTCCAGTACCTAGAATAATGAACGCCCGATGTGTAGAAAGTACTCGATACTTATTGAGTGAAACGAATGAATTACTGCGAATGAATGAATGAATGAATGAATGAACGAACGAACGAACAGATATCTCCTAGTCCCAGAGCTGCCGCTGCTTCGGTGAAGCCCCAGGGTGACGGGAGTGGCGTGTGCAGAGAGACGAAGGGCCCCAGTTTGTGTTCATCTCATCCTCCAGCAAACCTGCCGTCCGTGAGCTCTCACAGCTCCTTTTCTGCCAGCTTCTTCACTGTTTCTCCTTAGTTCTGCTGCTCTTTAGTTTATTTGACAAAATGCCGCTAAAGCGATCCTAAACGAATCCTGTCTGATCTGCTTTGGTTAAATTAAAAATACAGTAGACATATAAGGAAATTTACCCTGTCATCATAATCTTGGTTGGTTCGATATTTCTCTTGTTGTTTTTTCTCATGTTCTACAAATAAGTTCAGATACCATGGACGTGTGTAAATTACGAAGTGAAAGTTGCCCCCCGGGGGGACATATGATACCTGGAACTTTTAGAAAAAAGTATACGTGCGTGCAGAGAGACGAAAGGTAAAATGTCAACATCTGGGCGAAGGGCATTTGGGAATTCTTTGTACTATTTTAACAACTTTTTTTACATTGAATTTTTTTTTAATTACCTCTCATAATCCCATCCACAGAGAGCACTAATCTGTGGACCCTGAGAGCTTGCTGTGCACTAGGTGCTTTACGTTCGCTTTTCATTTATCTGCTGAGGGGGAGACAAAGGTGAAGTCGAGTGACTAGGGTGGCACAGCTCGGTTGAGTAGTAGGACCAGAATTTGGATGTACGTCTCTTCCATTCTGTTCCCCTTGTGTACCTCCATCAGTCAGCCTTTTCCCAGGAAAGGAGCCGGTTGTCTCCTTCACCCACCTCTGTCATCGTGCAGGTGACACTTTACAAGCTTGCGCTCAGTGAGGCTGGATGGGAGACAGTCCAGGAGTATCTGGAATAGAGGGGCTGCCGTCCTGAGTCTTGAAGGGGAGTGAAAGGGTATGGAGGGAATTGGTGCCCTCAACCAGCCAGCATGAGGGCTCCTTCCTCTTCCTTTTCTGGGGCATCTAGAGCTCTCAGGAGGCAGCCCTGACCCCACTTCTTCCCTTCCTGTTCCAGGAATTGAAGCTGCCCGCCTTCCGAGCCCACTCCCCGCTCCTGAAGAGCCGCCGGTTCTTTGTGGACATCTTGACCCTGCTGAGCAGCCACTGCCAGCTCTGCCCTGCGGCCCGACACCTGGCTGTCTACCTGCTGGACCACTTCTTGGATCGCTATAACATCATCACCTCCAAGCAGCTGTACGCCGTGGCGGTCTCCTGCCTCCTGCTCGCAAGTACGTGCCAACAGCTCCCTCCTCTGAGCTGCCTTCTCCTCCCCAGTGAGCCTAGGTGCTCCCAAATCATCGCACGTTTCCGTGTCTTCTGTGGTTATCCCTGAGTGCAAACTATTATTACTAATAATAGTAGTCAACATTTTCTTTAGCATCTCCAATGTACCAGGCTAACTGGTAAGGATTTTAGCATCTTGATCTTAGTGAATCCACACAGTGACCCTAGGTGGTGACACATACTTTTAGTGCCCCATTTTACCAAGGCACAGAGAGGTTAAGAAACTGGCCCTGAGTCACCCAGCTAGTATACAGCAGGCAAGATTTGAGCCCAGAACTGCACAGTGTCAGAACCTGTGCTCTTAACCCAATATCACCCGCTTCCTGGTATGGGGCCTCTGAATGTGCTGAGAGCGGAACCCTAGAAACCACTGCTCTGAGAGGTATTTGGAAATGTGACCGCCTGCCCAGGGCCCCAGCAGGGCGTATTACGTAGTCAGCAGGCCTGGGTCCAGCCCTCTTGGGGGTCGTGTCTTCCAAGGAGGCCTCACTAAAAACACAGCATGTGGCTTTGACCGTCTGTCTGCCTTGGTAGGGATTACTACATGAACGTGCTGCTGCTCGGGTCCTCTCCTTAAAACGCAGTTCTGCCATGCCACCATGCCACTTAAAATCACCCTCCAGTTTACCGGCATTCTTAGGATAAAGGCCCGCAGTCCACGTCCTGCCTCTCTCACCTTGGGCCCTTCTCCCCTTCACTTCCTGGGTTCCAGCCACGCCCGGTCTGGTCACAGAACTTTGCTCATGCTATTCCCTCCCTCTGGGGAGCTTCCCGTTCCCTTCCCCTGCGTGTGTGGTCCTGGTTCAGTGTCCTCACTGCCCTCAGCAAGTAAAGTCTCCCTGATATCCAGTCCCGTGGCATCATGTACTTTCCGTTAACACCGACCTCCCCCACCGAACGGTGAATTTCAGTGCGAGGAAGGAGCCTGGTGCATCGTAGGCCCTCAGAACAATATTTGTGGGATAAATGAGATGAACGGAGTGAGGGGTTCCTTTAGAGCTGGGCTCCAGCACTTGTCCAAGTGGCCCTTAATGCAGGGGAGCAGAATGCCCTAAAGGGGGCTGTGGCCATCATGACCCTTCCTTGACATCTAGTATCTTCTCCTTAAAATTCAATCGCATTTTACTGTCTCCTCCACAATACATTATTGTCCTATTTTGTTATACGTCCACACATTAGCCCCCATCCCGATGCTGCAAGAAGATGGCATTTATTTTCTCCTCTGGCTTTGTCTGCTGGCCCACTGCCACACACACACACACACACACACACACGGCCACAATCATCTAGTTCCAGAAGCTTTAGACTTTTCAAAATTCAGTCTTGTTTTCCACCCTGGCACCTTCCACCTGCTGTTATTTATAATCCCTTTGGCCGCTTTGGGTTTATAGCCTCCCAATTCGTGATTTTTCTCTACCTTGGGCCAGCTGGATTTCCCGTGTTACAAAGAGGAGTCAGTCTTGCTGAGAGTCCAGCCTGCGTGCTACTTCAAAGTCCCAAAGCAACATTCGGCTCCCTTTGGTCTTGGGAAGAGATGTGGGGCTTGCAAGACATCCCCGTCAGCCGAGGGCAGAGCGAGCGTCGCGTTTCAGCCGGCCCAAGGAAAGCCTGCGCGGTGGCCTTTGGCCTGCTGCTGTCTGTGATCTGTGGGCTGCATCGAGGCCCGCTGGGACCAGGGGACTTAGATTTCCATGGGGCCACAGAGGCTCTCCCCCAGCGTCTGTCTGGGGAGCTGGGACGTGAGGCGCACACTGGAGACTCCTTTGTGCTGCTGCCGCCATTGCTCAGGGAGGGGGCCTCGCAGACAGAGAGGCAGAGGCCCCCACCCTCATGTCTGAGGGCCGCAGGCAGCCTCTGGTGGGACTGGAGTTTTCAGGACACCTGCCATATGCTCAGAGGCCCAAGGAAAGAAAAGTTTCCATGACAGCCTGAAATCCTATTCATCCCTCCCTCCCCTCTCCCTAAGCTGACTGTCAGCCACAAGGGGGGTCACCTTGCCTCAGGGAGTTTGAAGTTCTGCTAATTCCATACCAAATAATTTGCGGATAGATAAAAGGAGACACAGTTCTTCTTTCCTCCACCGACCAGTTCTTAGGTTCTGATAGCTGCTTTCAGATAAGAGCCTTTGTACAGGTGGAACCTTTTTACCCGTGTACAGCCCCTCTGCCTGCTAAAACAGCAGTCAGCCCAGGACCCATGCTTGCAGACCTAGAGAAGGAGGTGGAAAAAGCAAGAGCTTGTAGGTTGTCCCATGGTGGACCAGTGGCAAAGCCTCCCCGTTGTCTCTCTATGACCAAGTTAATTGTTCGCATTTCCTACTTAACACAAGACAGACTACATATAGTGTAGCTATAAATATACTATAAATAGAGCGGAGCCACTCTCCTTCAATCTTCTATGGTACCCCTCCCCCAACTGCCTTTTTGTTGTCGCTGTGTAATTAAAACAATTGGAAACCATGGAAACTCTACGACTTACAGGTGAGTTGGCTTGGACAGGTGAGTTGGCTTGGACGGGGCAACATCATCATCCTGGCGACAGCAGCTTCGTTACTTACTGGCCCCTTTCTACACACCCAGCCCTGTGCCGGCCACTCTATACCCACATCACACAGAGTCCACACAACCAGCCTATGTGGTCCTGCTGTCATCCGCTCATTCTGTAGGTTCAGAGAGGCTGAATAACTTGCTCAAGGTCACACAGCTCGCAATTTTATTTTTTTTGATGGAAGTAAAATTCATAACATAAAATTCACCATTTTAACCATTTTAGAGAGTACAGTTCTGTGGTATTTACTACATTCACGCTGTTGTGCAGCCGTCATCACTGTCTAGTTACAGAACATGTTCATCACCCCAAAAGGAACCCCGGCGCTCATTCAGCAGTCACTTTCCATTTCTTCCCACCCTCAGCCCCTGGCAACCACTAATCCGTTTTCTGACCATATAGATCTGCCTATTCCGGATATTTCATATAACCAGGTGTTGAGTCCTTAACCCCAGGACGTGAAGCAGCGAGAGGAAGGAGGGTGGGAGAGGAAGCCAGAAAAACGAAAGGTGGGACCAGTGGGCTTAAGTGTAAGACATTATCATGATATAAGAAGTATGAGATACATTTTCACTGTAAAAAATCCAAAAGATACAGAATTACCTAGTATAAAAAACTAGTTTCCCCCCAAATCCATCATCCCATTCCCACAGGCTGGTGTGTATCCTTCTGGACTTAGAAGTACTTGTGTGTTTTCATAATTGGGAAAATAAAGCTATTTTCATTTACGGGGGGTGGGGAATGAATCATAGATTACACCCGTAGAATCTTCCCAGTAAACAAAATTGCCAGAGTCTCTCCCTTCTTCCCTTTTTCATTCTTTCTCTCTCCATCCGATGCTCATCCTCCTCTCCAGAGACAGCTTCTGGAAGGAGATTCTTGTGTCTTCTTCCAACATTGGTCTAGTATATTTTCTAGAAATGTTCTGAGCATATACAAACATATCGTCGAGCCTCATGATTCAGAGATTCCATACTTGCCAGTTTACCTACTCACTAAAATTTATTTTTAGCCCCCAAATCAGTACTCACAGAACTTCTGCAGTCATTCATGGACATATGCAGAACAGCAAAAAATGTGAGTCGTCCTGCGTGCATGTTCCCAGCTAACGTGGAACAAGGCAGCGCTCTGCCTTCTTCTTTCGGCTCTCATACTTAACACAGTGGCCTTTTTTTCAGTCTGTGTAGTGCCGTGTTTTTTCACTTTCGGCTTGTTGGTGATTTTGCTGTTTAAAATGGTCCCAGCCTTAGTACTGGGTGGCTGTCTGGTGTTGCTAAGTGTGAGAAGGCTGTGTGCGCCTTATGGAGAAAATATGTGTGTGAGATAAGCTTTGTTTAGGCAGGAGTTACAGTGCTGTTGGCTGTGAGGTCTGTGATAGTGGATCAGCAAAATATTACACAGAAATACACAAAACAAGGTTATGTATTAATTGATCGTGATCAGAGGCACATAGGAACCTAACTCTGCCTCTTTCCTGGGGAGTGTGGGTCAGCATTCACTGGTCCGATGTTCACAGTGACTTTACCATAATTACTGTGAATAACTAGAATCGACCATATATTTACGCAAGTGGGTTAAATGCCAAAGATGCTTTCTTTCTTCATTGTACAATAGGGAGTATCTTTCCTGTCAGCCTGTGTGGATTTACCTTACTCTTTTTATTGACTGCAGAGTCTTCCATATTATAAACACTGCCATCTATTTAATGATTCCTGTCCCTGGACAGTTATTGACATGTTTTTTTTTCACTGCTGTACGCGATATGGCAACTGTCCTTTCCCCTGTGTCTTTGTATACTGAAGTGAGTATGTCTGTGAAATAAATTCGCAGAGGTGGAATTGTTGTGATCAAAGGCTCTGTGCATTTAAGGTTTTGACAAGTAGCGCTCGCTGAATTGCCTCGCAGTGGTTTTAACAAAACCGACAGCTGACGAGATCCCCTTTTCCTTAAATTGAACTTAATTTGCAGGAGCCTTTAGAACTACACCTTCCACCTAAACAACAAACTATCAGAAGTGAGACAATGTCCATTCTCCACGTGGCCCCTCACCAGTGTCCACCTGTGGCTTTTTTTCCTGCGCTCCCAGCAGGGAATACCTTTGCATTCCACCTTTCAGCCTTGTCCTGTCCAGGATGTCCGGGGGAGAAATGAGTTCCCAGACCAGTTGCTTTGAAGGCTTCTTAAGCTGGAAGTCATTAGGTAGTGTCTTCGGGCAGGTACCAGTAAAATCCATCCCTTGCCCTGGCGCTTGTGCCGCTCTTGGGAGGTTGTAGGAGAGGCTTGTCTTTCTCTCAGTAAACCACCTTCACTCCCCCTCACTCACTCCTGCATCCTCCTTTTTCCCCTCCCCACTGCTTTATTTGGCAACTGTTGCTTCTGAGAAGCAGCCTCTTTGACA